CCAAACTATGTGAAACAGAGCTTCAAAACCCTTGTCTCCAGGGGGAAACTTGGTTTACCCTCTCCAAGACAGAACTGTTTGTTCTCTTGGTGCCCCAAGGTATGTTCGATACTCTTCTACAGCACCACAATTCAAAGGCATTGATTCTTCTTCTGTCATCTTTATTCATTATCCAGTTCTCTAATGCATAGCAAGTAATTGGTCAGACACACCTTAGTCTCTAGACTGACTTCATTATTCTTTAGACTGTGAAGAGATCCCTGACAGCAGACTTCTCCAGTGTAATTCATCTTTTGATTTTATGACTGCTGGTGCCAAGAGTGTTGATTGTGGAACAGAGCAAGCTGAAATTGTTAATAATCTCAATCTCTTCTCCATATATCATTGTGCTACAAATTAGCAAAGTGGTAAGGATCTTTGTTTTCTTGATGATGAGCTTCAGTCCATATTGAAGATTACATCCCTTGACTTTCTGCAGCAAATGCTTCAGGTCCTTCTCAGTTTCAGCAAGCAAGGTTGTGTCATCTGCATAACACAGATTGTTGACACACTTCACATAAATCCAACCTCCCAGATGACCTGTTCCGCATACAGATTGAAAGGTGTGGAGAAAGGATGCATTCTTGACGAACTTCTTTCAGAACTTAGAACTGTGCAGTGTTTCCTTGCTCTATTTCGATGCCTGCTTCCTGCTCCAAGTACAGGTTTTGCATGAGTACAATCAAGTGTTCTGGGATTGCCATTCTTCTCAAGGTTAGCCACACAGTCAAATGTCTTTGCATAGGCAATGAAAAACAGACATTCCTCTGGTATTCTTTGGTTTTGGCCAAGATCCATCTGACATTGATGACTATGTCTCTAGTGCCACAGCCTTTTCTACATTCATCTTGTATTTTTGGTAATTCTCTGCTGATATATTGTTCCAGTAATTTTTCAATAATCTTCAGCAGTATTTTGCATGTGTGTGATATTAGTGATATTGTTCAATAATTTTCACACTTTATCAGGCCATCTTTTTGTTTATTTATTTATTTTTTTTTTTAGTGGGGATGAATATGGATCTCTTTCAGTCAGTTGGCCAGGTATTTGTCCTCGAGATTTCTTGGCACATCTCTGTGAGCACTTCTACAGCAGCATTTGTTTGTTGACATATATCAATTGGTATTCTATCAAGTCCTGGGACCTTTCCCCCCCTGCCCCCCAGGTCCTTCAGAGCCACTTCAACATCTTCCTTCATCCCCATTGCTTCATGATCATGTATTGTTTCATGACATTCTTCTGTACCAACCAATTCTCTTTTGGTACAGTGACTCGGTATACTCCTTTCCATCTTCTTATAATGCTTCCTGGATTATTCAATATTCTGCCAATAACATCCTTAAGTATTGTAACTCAGGACTGAATTTGTTCTTCAGATTCTTCAGCTTAAGAAATGCTGAGTTAATTCAGCTCTTTTTATTTTCTGATTGTAGCTCTTTGAATATTTCATTATATAATACTTTATTTTGTCTTCTCAAGCTTCCCTTTGAAATCTTCCCTTCAGCAACTTAATTCTATGATTTATTCTGGAAGTTCTATGCTTACACACACACACAAACACACACACACACACACACACACACAGTACAAAGTACATGTGCTCCTGCTACTTGGTCTGAATCCTCTGTTGCTTAGGTGTTCACTGTTATTCATCCCTTTCTCTTCAATGAAATTTTAAGTCTGGGCTCACTCTAACTTTTTTCCTCAGTGGGCTAACTGCAGAGCAATTCACATTTAGTTTCTACCTCTCCTCCTTTTCTGTTCCACCTTCTCCCCTGTGAACACTTTTACATATCTTGCTCAATTATCCCCCTATTTTCACAATAGTAGTTTTATGCAGTATTTGTCCTTATATGACTGTGTTGTTTCACTCAGCCTAATGCTCTCTAGTCTCTCCCATGTTATTCAGTTGTTGTTGTTCTTATGTGCCGTCGAGTCGTTTTTGACTCATAGTGACCCTATGCACAACAGCCCTAAACCCTGCTCTCTCCTGCGCCAACCGCACTGCCTCTGACACACCCATCCGATTACCCCAGTCACCAAATCAATCCATCTCATAGAGGGTCTTCCCCTCCTGCGCTGTCCCTCCACCCTCCCAAGCATGATGTCCCTCTCCAAGGACCCGTCCCTCCTGGCAACATGTGCAAAGTATGTCAGACGAAGCCCCAGAATCCTTGCCTGCAAGGAGTAGCTTGGTTTAATCCTCTCCAAGATGAATCTGTTTGTTTTCCTAGCAGTCCATGGTACATTCAGTACTCTTCTCCAGCACCACAGCTCAAAAGCATCCACTCTCTTTCTGTCCTCCCTAGTCATTGTCCAACTCTCTGATGCAAGCAATTGCAAATACCATGGCCTGTATCAGGCACACCTTAGTCTCCAGAGAGACACCGTTGCTCCTTGCTTTTAAATACCATTGACTCATAGTTTCAAAACATAGACACAGAAAAATAAAAGACTGACTAAAAGCAACATGTTTTTATGTACCATTGAGTCAGATCAACTTCCAGCAGATTTCAGAAGCAGTAAATTGCAAGGCTGGGGTTGCCAATCTACTGTGGAGGAGCTGGTAGACTTGAACCACCTTTGTCTGGGTTGGCAGAGCAACTTCTTACCACTAAGATACCACAGATTCCTTCAAAAGTAATAAAGGAATAGAGAATAAGGTTTATACTAATTCATTTATGCTCTTCACACCAGATAACATAGGAAATTAACTCTTAAGCTACTTATATTTTATATTTTGTTCAATAATGGATTTTATCAATAAAAAAATCCAATAGAAATGTATTCCAAATAAAAGTGATAATCTCTATTTGACTTTCTTTTTTATTTTATTATTTTTTTTTTACGTGTACCGTCAAATCAGATCTGACTGGTACAGGAGGAGATTGCCCCCTCCTTCTCCAGCAGAGCATCTGGTGGATTTGAACCACGTACCTCTGGGATTGCAGTGCAGTGTCTTGCCACTAGGCCACCAGAGCTCCCTTTCTATTTGACTTTCTGAGTGGAAATACATTACCTATAAATGCATGTCATAATTAAGAGAAGTGCTATATACAGAAAGCCCTTTATCATTCAAGTCTCCTAATAAATGTTTGCTTGGTTGCTTTTGATGTTTGATTTGCTAAAGTACAACAACAAACGAATAATAAGAGCACATAATAAAGAGAATAAATAAGAAAGGAATGTAATTGCTAAGGAAAAGAGTCTTGAAAATGAAATTTAAAAATTTGAAATTATTTTCATATACATCTCAAAGTGTAAGTCATATGTTTTACATCTTGTTAATAAATTTGAGTGGTGGAGAAGAGGGAAATAAACTGGCCTATGTTGTGTTCTTAATGTGGATGAGAACAAATACATATCTAACATCTAGTTAAAGATAGGGGGTTATGGTAGCCTAGTAGGTAGGGATTTGTACTTCCCACCCAAAGAGAAAGAGCTGGAATCCACTAACTGTTCTGTGGAAAAAACATAAGTCATGTCCTCCTGTTTGCTCAAAACATTTTTTTTTAATTTAGTGATTTACCTAGAACTAATTGGAACCAATTCATAGCTAGACCTCTACTGAGGTTTTTAGAGGCAGCAAATCACCTGGGAGGAGACTGCTCATCTTTCTCCTGAAGAGCTGCAAGTGGTTTCAAACTGCATACTTTTGGGTTGGCAGCACAATTCCTTACCACTAAGGATAGCTGTCTGATTAACTGACTGGAAGAGATCCATATTTGTTACCATTCATTAAAAAAGGTAATCAACCTGAATGTGGAAATTATCAAACAACATCATTAATATAACACACAAGCAAAACACCACTGCAGATCATTTAAAAATGGTTGGAACTGTACATCGATAAGGAACTGTTAGATGTTCAAGCAGGATTTAGAAGAGGCTTTGGCACCAGGCATATCATCCTATTTTTACAATAGTAGTCTTCCGCAGTGTTTTTCTTTATAGGGCAGAGTTTTTCCACTCCACATAATACTCTCTAAGTTTCTCCCATATTATATAATTTACAAAATCATTGTTGAAGTGCTACAATTTCTCGGTGTATTTGTTTGTGGGCGTTTGTCCTGTTTCTATTTTCTTACTATTGTGAAAAATTCTTCAGTGAACATAGATGTACATATGTCCACTCATCTCTCAGTTCTAATTTCCTTGGATACATTGGTGGAATAGCTGAGTCATATGGGATTTCCGTGTCCAGGTTTTTTAGGCAATGACAATCTACCCTCCATCAGGGTTGTACCATTTTACAACCCTAACAGCAGTACTTGAGAATTCCATTTTCTCTACACCCTTTCCAAAATTTATTGTTTACTGTAAGAATACTAATATTTAAACAATCTAAACAGATTTTTGTAGGATGCCTCCACAATAAAAGACACTACTTGATTTCTCGTTATCTCTTCCATGAGTATTGAAATTGAAATTGAAATGTACATCGATAAGTATATTTGCAAGTGAACTAAAATTCTTCACCATTTCTATATTTTCAGTTTAACAAATATTTACTTTTGATGTAAGTGTGGGGACTTTTGTTTTCATCCTGGTGAACTAGAAGTCATACTCTTTAGATACAACATGCATTAAGTCCCATACAAGTACATAAAGTGAAATTACATGAATGTGACAATGTATAGTCTTATATCATTTCTAGATAGCAGATATGATATATTAAATTATTTTATTAAATTCACTTGTTCAGTCTACAACAATCACATGAAAACAAATAATTATTTCCAATTGTTATAATTGCCACCAAAATCCTCTCAGGACATTCCTGTCTGTTCTAGGAAACAATACCTTCTGAAACTATTTAAGCCTAGAGCTTTCTATATAGTTGGAGGAAATGCAAATAGGGACCCTCCTTTCACTGATTAAATACACCACAGCCCCGACTTCAGCTCTGGGAGAGGAGCCTCTTCACACAGTGATCTGGACTCAGCAGAGGAGAAGACACCATGGAGTCCCTGTTGAGCTGGGTTTTCCTAGTTGCTATTTTAAAAGGTGATTTTATGGGGACAAAAATAATTGAGTGAGTTGATATGAGTAAGAAAAACAGGATATGAGTTACAGATTCCCTGAACAGAATGTTTCTGTTTGCAGGTGTCCAGTGTGAGGTACAGCTGGTGGAGTCTGGGGGAGACCTGAGACCGCCCGGGGGATCTCTGACACTCTCCTGTGTAGCCTCAGGATTCACCTTCAGTAACTACTGGATGCATTGGGTCCGCCAGGCTCCAGACAAGAGACTTGACTGAGTTGCAAGAATTAATCCTGCCAGTAGTACTAAGAACTACGGTGAGTCTGTGAAGGGCCGATTCACCATCTCCAGAGACAACGCCAAGAACATGCTATATCTGCAAATGGACAATTTGAGAACCGAGGACACAGCAATTTATTACTGTGCAAAAGACACGGTGAAAGGAAATAAATGTAAAGCTAGACAAAAATACCCCTGATGGGAGAATGCGGCTACAGGGGGCACTCAGGAGCCTCAAGTACAGGATTCAGACTCAGGAGCAGGTGCAGATGAAACTTAAAGGCTGATTTCCTGTTGAGATCACAGGATATTATTTTTCTATATAAAACTCTCCCCAAGGGCTCTCCCTATTTTTATGTTTCCACCCATACTAACCTCAAACAGAAACATTTTGTATTATAAAGTGAAGGGAAATATGAAAACTAGTAACTTATGGAGGGTCAATGACTCTATCAGGGCCCCGGGGTCAGAGTTCTGTTGAAGCTCAGGAAATCCTGACAAAATCTTTTCCAATTAGACTCAAGGCTGATTGGGTGATGCAATTGGTTAAATGTTTGACTAACAGAGAAATTCACTGCTCAACCTAATCCCTGATGCTTTGGGATAAGGATCTGCCATCTGCTTCTGAAAAATTAGATTCAGAAAGAAATCTCGGTGCAATTCCTCAGTCAGGACTCTGAATTTCAGGTTGGAGTCAAGTGGATGACCAGTGCAGAGACAGAAACATCTAAAAGTAGAATGTGGTTTCCATTGCATTCCCTTCCCTTATGGACTTACGGACATCAGACTTAGCACTTCTGGAATCTCTTTTCACCTAGTCTGTTTTATTTCTGTTATTCATGAAAGTTTTATAGTTTATATTTTAACATGAAAACATTAATTGCAATTTTAAAAAAAATTATTAAATTAAATTATTAAATTTAAAATTATTTTAAAAGAATAAGGGCTAGTCTTGGTTCTGACCAGTGAAAACACCAAAACAGGAATGAATTGGTGTGGATTATTACCAGAGAAATACCATTGTGTGAGAGACTGCAACGGAGGCAGGGTGAATTTCCAGCCTGTGACATAACTTTTATTCTGAGAGGGGAAGGAGAGAATGTGGACGTTATATCAATCTCTTCAATTTTCAGGAAGGACTTGAGCCATGCACAGGACAGACAACGCTACTATGGGTTGGCATAATTAGTAGCCATTTCTGTTTAAATATATTAGACACACGTCAATTAGATAAGCCACAAAAGATGGTGGGAAGGGAGGAAGAGTGACTACACTTAAGAAAATCCTCCACACATGCTATGATTCTGAGTATAGCCTCTACTGTGTTAGCCTATCATGGAATGTGGCTTTCAATTCTAGACAAGATACTGCATCAGAACAATTCAATGGAAAAGCTCTACTCCCTGGAAAGGAATATTACAATTTCTATTCACAATTACAGGTATTATATCTTACAAGTGAATTATTTATTCACCTTTTGGCATTACGTTATCTGTGAGAAGTACGTTCTAAATATTACCTCAAGAAAATGCAGTTGGTTGCTTGGTATTCAATTCTTTAATTCAGTACATTTATATGGTAAAGAAAAAGTAATCTAATTGATATTTTCAACTATCTCTCAATGTTGTTGTGGTTAAATGCAATTGAGTAACCTGTGACTTATAGTGACCCTATGTACAATAGCTCTGAACTCTGCTTTATCCTTCGCCAATGTTTCTGGTACACATTTCCCATTATCACAGTTACTCTGTCAATTCATCTTATTCGGTGTCTCCCTCTTCTGCACTATCTCTCTGTTCTTCCAAGCATGATGTCCTTCTCTAGAGACTAGTCCGCCCTGGCCACATACCCAAAGTATATGAGATGGAGTTTCAAAATCCTTGCCTCTAAGCAGCCGCCTGATTTAACCTGCTAAAGGAGAAACGTGTTTGGTCTCTTGGCAGTCCATAATATGCTCAATACTTTTCTCCAGCACTACAACTCAAAGGCATCAATTCTTCTTCTATCATCTTTGGTCATTGTCCAGCGTCCTGATGCATAGTTAAGTCATTCCAAAAACCATGATCTGAATCAGGCATATATTATTCTCCACATTGACATCATTGCTTTTCAGCACTCTGGAGAAGTCAGTGAGAACAGCATTCTCCAGAGCAACTCACCTTTGTTTATTGACTGCTGGTGCCAAGAGTGTTGATTGTGAAGCTAAGCAAACTGACATTGCTAATGACTTCAGTGTCTTCTCCATCTATCATGGTGCTGCCAATTGGCCCATTGGTGAGAATCTTTGTCTTTTTGAAATTGAGCTTCAATCCCCATTGAAGACTGCAGTCCTTAACCCTCTGCAGTAAACACTTTAGATGCTCCTCACTTTCTGCAAGCAAGGTTGGGTCATCTGTATAATGTAGATTGTTGATGAGTCTTCCTCCAATCCTGATGCCACATCAACAATTCTTTTTCATGCATCTTCATTATATATTTGATAAATTTCAGCCTATCAAATTTGGTAGAAATCTTCAACTTCTAAATCTTTGGCTTTAGTGTTTGCTGCCTGTATTTACAAGATAGTTATCTTATTATTGTCTTTGTATGTATGTTGTTATTATTCTATCATTGAAAGAATTATACTTCAGGATAAATAAGAAAATGGCATTTTTAATGTTGAAAGTAATATAATTTCTATTCTCTTGGTCATTTTTAGGACAATAGCCTAATCCTATCCATTTCTGCTCTCTAATGAATAGGATGGCAATTCTTGAGTGTTTCATTTAAATTTTTACCATTTCCCACTTTAAAAAAAATCACACTTTGCATCTCTGTAGATGTTCATTGAAATGAAAAATAAACAACCTAAATTTAAAAAAAATCACACTTTGTACATTCCACTTACCAATAGTTAATGGATATTTCCCTCTGTTTCTCCTTTTTTAGAGTCTTGCCACATCAGCGCAAACAAATTTTTTATTCACTGAAAGATTATTCCATTTGAGCCATCAAGGCGTGTTCTACTTTGAGGAGTCAACTTATTTGCAGTTGTATTTTGACCTTTTGAGTATCTTCCAACCTGTGGGGATGAACATCTGTAGGGATGTTATATAAATAATACATGCTCATGCTTATTGCTAATCTATTCAAGAAGCAAAGAGATGGAGGCAACTTAGCTAGTCCATCAACAAATGATGGATAGAAAAACAACGGTACATTCACACAATGGAATATTATGCAACATTGAATAAAATGAACTCTTAAAACATTACACAACATGGGGAAACCTGGAGTACATTATGCTGAGTGAAGTATCTTTGTCACAAAAGGACAAATACCACACAACATCACTGTTAAAAAATAGGACAAATATTTGAAGGATTAGGGAGATGGGGGAAAGTGGATAAAAAATGAACGCCACATTAAAACAAAAAGGGAGAAAGAACTATCTGAAAGGAATATATGATTATATATTATGTGCAAGACAACAATCTGGAACAAGGGGTGCATTGAGGAGAGAACTGCAGGAGAGGGAGGAAGAAGTAAGAAAATATGCAAGGAAAAAAATCCTTAAAATTTTTTTTATCTTAAAAAAGTATTTTAAAGATAAAAAGATGTTAGACAAATATTTGCTGCTCATTGTTGTTATATGTTAGGTGTCGGTTGAATACAACTCATAGCTACTCTATGAACAACAGATCTAAATCTTGTCCTATCCTGAGCCATCCTCACTATCTTTGATAGACTTGAGCCTGTTGCAACAGTCACCAGGTCAGTTCAACTCATTGGAGTCTTCTCTTTTGCTGATTCTCTGCCTTTTGAAGCGTATTATCACTTTCCAAGGAATAGCTTCTCCTAGGAATATGCCCAAATTATGAGAGATGCAGTTTTTCCACCCTTGCCTCCAAGAAGCACTCTTTTGGCAGGCAGTTCACGGGATATTTCATACTCTTCTCCAACACCACAACTTTAAGGTATCAATCCTCCTTCTGTTACTCATTATCTATCTCTCAGAAACATAGAAAGTAATTAAAAAGACCATGACCTGTATCAAATGCATCTTTGTCTTCAAATTGATGTCATTGTTCTAGAGTATTTTGGAGAGGTCCCTGACAGCAGCCTCGCCAAAAGAAATATATCTTGTTTTCTCCTGACTGCTGATACCAAGGGATTTGACTGTGGATCCAATTAAGGGGAAATCACCGACAGTTTCAATCCTTTTTCCATCTGTTATGACTGGTCTAGTGGTAAGGACATTTGTCCTCTTGATGTTGCAATGTAATCCATACTGAAGCCTGTAATTTTTGATCTTTTGTAGCAAGTGCTTTAGGTCTTTCTCCCTTTTAGTACTAAAGATTGCCATCATCTGAATAATGTAGGTTGTTGATTCATTTTCCTCCAATCTTGATGCTGCATTCCTCCTCATAAAGTCCGGTCTCCAAGATGATCTATTCCACGTATAGATTAAGAAGTGTGGAGAAAGGATATAACCCTGATGAGAAATCTTCCTTATTTTAAATCATGCAGTGTTCCGTTGTTCCATTCTGACAATAACTTCTTATTCTAGATAAAGATTTCATATGAGCATAGTTAAGTGTTCTGGGATTCCTTTTCTTCTCAATGTTTAGTTTGTTGTGGGTCACAGAGCCAAGTTAAAACTGAATAAACTTCTTAAGTAATGTAAAATAACAGAATTAACATATATATAAAATAAAATATATTTAAAATAAATGTTATAATAAATCAAAATGAAACAAAAGGAATTGTGTAAAATGAAGATATAATGTAAATAATATTAAATACATACAGTAAATAGAAATAAAATATTTACTAGTGCCAAGAAGACTCACTAAGCTAACAGCACCTGAGTCCCTTACAACTCAGACAGGAAAGAAGGTAAATATGACAAATATGGAAAATAATTCTGTGACCTTGATAATCTAAGGACCAGATAAAGTAGTTCAAACACTGGCTGATAGAAACGTACCAAAAAACACTGAATTTGGAAAAATAAGAACAGTGAATTTGGGAGTGGAACTGACATATCATAGCCATTTTTCATATTTCCAAGCAACTTTCTGATCTGGGTAGGAACCCAAAACTGCATCAGTGGCCACAGTGGTGCAATCTCCCTATTATTTTCTCCACTCTCCTGGTTATCAGAAGAGTTTCTCCAACCCGCACTGACCTTATGTCTGTAGCATTTCCCCTATAGAATCCATGTTATCTGAGGTATGATGCAACCATTGCTGATCTGGAACTGAGTAGTTACCATTTCCACAACTGGAAGTTGAGCTATTCTCCACCTATTGTTACTGATGTTTTTGTTGTTCGGTGACATCAATCAGTTATGAATCACAGTGACCCTACGAACAACAAATCTGAAGCTTAACCTATTCTGTGCCATCCTAATCATCTCTGACATACTCTAGTCCATTGTTACAGTCACTGGGTCAACATATATCTTTGAGAGTATTCTTCTCTTTCATACAATCTCTACATTTCCATGCATGATATCCCTTTCCAAAGACTGGACCTTCAACCTATCCAACGTATGTGAGGTGGTGCAGCACTATCCTTGCCTCTAAGGAGAATCCTAGTTGTGCTTTCTCCAAGATGTATTTGTTTCTTCTTTAGCAAGTCCATGAAACTTTCAATGTTCTTCTCCAGCACCACAACTCAAAGGCATGGATGCTTTTTCCTTTATCCTTAGTCAATGTACAACTTTCAGATGCATAATTAATTAATTGGAAAAATTATGCCTTGAATCAAATGTACCTTAGTCTTTAATCTTTGCTCATTAACATATTGAATAGATCCTTGGCATAAGATTTCCCAGTGCAATACATCTTTTGGTTTTTTGACTGCTGGTGCCAATGGTCTTGATTGTGAATTCAAGAAAAACGAAATTTTTGAAAACTTTAATATTTTCTCCATCTATCATGATGCTCCCTATTTACCCAGTGGTGAGTATTTTTATCTTCTTGATGTTGAGATGGAATTAATATAGTCTTTGAGCTTCCGTAGCAAGCCTTTTGAGTTCTCT